CTCAGCGAGAAGCGACGCCTGGAGCAGGAGGCCCTGCCCCGGCCTGCCCCGGCACCCTCTGAGTCCACCAACCCCTTCGAAGAGGATGAGGATGAAGAGGAGGAAGAGCCCTCTGCTGAGGAGGAGGTGGTCGACCTCTCACTCGAGTGGATCCAGGAGCTGCCTGAGGACCTGGATGTCTGCATTGCTCAGCGGGACTTTGAGGGGGCGGTGGACCTCTTGGATAAACTCAACGAGTACCTGGGGGACAAGCCTGTGAGCCAGCCCGTGAAGGAGCTGCGGGCCAAGGTGGATGAGCGTGTTCGGCAGCTTACAGATGTGCTGGTGTTTGAGCTGTCTCCGGACCGCTCACTGCGGGGAGGGCCACGGGCCACCCGCCGAGCCGTGTCCCAGCTCATTCGCTTGGGCCAGTCCACCAAAGCGTGTGAGCTCTTTTTGAAGAACCGGGCGGCCGCAGTGCAGACGGCCATCCGACAGCTGCGCATCGAGGGCGCCACACTGCTCTACATCCACAAGCTCTGCCACGTCTTCTTCACCAGCCTTCTGGAGACGGCAAGGGAGTTTGAGACGGACTTTGCTGGCAACAATGGCTGGTACCCAGCCCTTGTTTTCCATGAAGATGTTTGTAGATGCCTTCAGCAAGCAAGTATTTGATAGTAAAGAGAGCTTGTCAACTGCAGCAGAGTGTGTCAAGGTAAGAGGGTCCAAAGGGGTTGGTGTGACCAGATGGTCAAAACAATGGCTGTAAAGCTAGTAGATCCTCTTTTCTAACCCTAGTTTAGTTGTTGGGCTTCCTGCATTGAAAGTTTGGGGTTGAGTTGTAGTTCTTTCAGTTTAACAGGGGCAAGCATTAAGACAAAAATACACAGGGAGAGAAGCCTTTATCAGAAATGCAAAATGTGTTTATTCTTAATTTACCTTCGACCACTAGGAGGTCCTAAATTTTGCATAAGCTACATATGAATGGTGAGTATTTGAAAACTTTTTGTTTATTTTCCAATCCTGTCCTGGACTACGTTTCCATAATTTTTTGCAAGACTAACTTTTTCAGGCTGTGGTTTCTTTCAGCTGCTAATAGGAAGAAAAAACCCAAAACAACAGTGTGTTTTGGGGCTGTAATGTCGTTGTGTAGAGTATTTTTGATGGGCGGGGTTTGTCTCTCAGTTATGAATTTCGCATTAGTAAGGAAATTTCTTAAAGCAGGAGAAATAAGTGAAGTATGACTAACACTTCCCTGTTTTCTGAGAATGGTAAGTTTGGTAAATGTGGAAGGGGGCCTGCACACTAGTAACACCCTTTGCTTTTCATTCATACCCAAGGTGGCTAAAGAGCACTGCAAGCAGCTTAGCGAGATTGGACTGGATCTCACCTTCATCATTCATGCCCTGCTGGTGAAGGATATCAAAGGTGCTTTACAGAGCTACAAGGATATCATCATCGAGGCCACCAAGCACCGCAACTCTGAGGAGATGTGGAGAAGGATGAACCTAATGACTCCAGAGGCACTGGGGAAACTCCGAGAGGAGATGAGGAGCTGTGGGGTAGGCAATTTTGACCAGTACACGGGTGATGACTGCTGGGTCAACCTTAGCTATACTGTGGTAGCTTTCACTAAGCAGACTATGGCCTTCTTGGAGGAAGCATTAAAGCTTTACTTTCCAGAGCTACATATGGTTCTTTTGGAGAGTCTTGTGGAAATTATCCTGGTGGCTGTCCAGCATGTCGATTACAGTTTACGGTGTGAACAGGACCCTGAGAAGAAAGCATTCATTAGGCAGAATGCATCCTTCCTCTATGAAACTGTCCTTCCTGTTGTGGAAAAAAGATTTGAGGAAGGAGTTGGAAAGCCAGCCAAGCAGCTACAGGATCTGAGAAATGCTTCAAGGTTGATGCGTGTAAATCCGGAAAGTACCACCTCGGTGGTTTGAAGTGACCTAACTGTTCTTTTGAACAGAGTGTGAAGCCTCTTAACTGAAAATGTTGTACTTTGAATATATGAACTAAACATGGGTTGAGGGGTTTGTTTTTTGGTTTTTTTTTTGGAAAAATGCGGAAGTCTAGCTGCTGCATTCTAGAAGCTATAGACTTACAATTAAACCCTGCAACAATGCAATGCTGTTCAAGAAGATCAAGGTCACATGTACTAGGACAGCATATTCCTCAAGAATGGCTTGTATAGTGTCTGTGACTTGGGAAATACTGTAATATACAATTTTTGGCCAAATGTTTGTGAAAGTCTTAAATGTAAGTACACCATACAGCAGGAAAAGGGCATTTGTCATCATGTCACTGTAGGAATTCTTTTTTAAGGCAGTGTTCTGGTAGGAGAGGAAGTGCTGAAATGTAACTAGGGTGTGGTATTTGGTGAGGCATATCCACCATCCAAATGTGACTCAGCACTGCAGATGAACATGGATTTGCACAGTCTGATTTGTTTGGTAGCAATGCAGCTCTTCAGTTTCTCCAACATTCAAATTCTCTTCATTCATTTCAGAGGCAGTTCTAAATTAAAATATTTTTTAATAGATTTTTGTGTTGGATTGAAAGGGCTGCTTCTGTTTAATGAGCTGTCAGCTTAAATTGCATCTCTCTGAAAACAAACCCTCTGCTGTCAGACACGTGTTCCCTTCAGAGAAGAAGCGGGAATAACTTTCTTCCCTTCCCCTTTGTGTTCCCCTTCCTTGTTTTCTGATGGACTTCCTTGGGGTCACGTCCATTTGGTGAAGTAGGCACTCTTTCTTGAATTGCTGTTGTAAAATGCATTATGGGCCATTACCTACTGGTAGAAACCATAGTGAAGAGGCGTAAATGCTCTTGAGATGTGCAGGGCAGGGAGAGGGTCTGAAGGTACTATTTTGTTTCGTAGCTGTGCTGTACCAAAGCAGCATGGGATGAAGAAACAGGGTGTGAGCCTTTTTGTAAATGACTCGGTCTTCAAAATACACACTCTGTCTCTCCTGCAAATATTAGTGTTGTTTCCTGTATTACAGCATTAATCAAGATCTTAACTTTTGGGTTTGTTTTGTTTTTTCTTTTTTTTGCAGAGAACACAAGGACTGTATTCAGTTGGAAATTAATATAGATGGGGGAGATTTATGCATATGCTTTTATATTTTGATGGAACAGTGGTGGCTATCTCGTTCAGTATGTGTCTATGAAAATAAAGTAAGCCAAGTCTTGTGTAAAGACTGGCTTTAGAAACCTGTCAGCATCATCTCCTAAGCTGTGTAAACTTTTTCCCCTTTCAGTGCAGACTTTCTTACTTGTGAGGAAGACTTTCTTAGATGTGAGAAAATCATGTTACAGCTAAGTAACCTTGTATTAGACTCCCACTAAGCGTTCTTAACTGGAATAATAGAGTGTCCTCTTCCTCCTGTGCTTTCAACTGAAAGCCTTTGCAGTTTCTATCATGGTAATAAATGCCTTGTGACTGCCTGAACAAACAAAAGATACTGCTAGTAAAACATTCTGCGTAGCTGCTTATACTGGAGCTTCTTCATTTCTCCCTATTTTCATGGTGCTGGTTCAGTGCAGTTTTCACTTTAGGGTCTAGTTTTTCTTCCTTGTGTTCTTTGGATGCCTTTTGAACTGTCAGACTATGTAAAGCATCCTGCTGTCTCTGTTCATTTGCTTTCCAGTGTTTGGGCCTTTTGCTAGCAAATCACAGGAAAAAACAAACCCAAACTGCAAAATTATTTTAAAGGATAACTCATTTCTTTTAGCTAAAACTGATTGAAAACCACTGATATAGCTATAGGTTTATTTTGAGGCACAGAGACAGTGAGAGTTAGGGTTTCTATGAACATGTTATGTCCTGCAGAGAACAACTTGGGCCATTTTTCACTAGTGGACTAGTTCTGATACCAGAACCTAGTTAAGTAATATATTCTTTGTCATCTTTTTAAAGCAGGTTCATGTGGCAACCTGGCCTTACTTAGCTTGAGAAATACTTTCAAGTGGATTATAAGTGAGAGCTCTACATGGTGATGACTATTTTGAAGGAGAAAGGGAAGGGAAGGCTTGCTTTCTCTGAAGACAGGTGTATTTTTTGTTTTCTTTACAGCAGAAGAAAACAGGATAAATACAGATGAGCCTTATGCATTTTGGGGTTTTGGTTTTTGTGGTGTTTTTTTTACTGTGCAAGCTAAGGGTAAGCTGTGGAACTCCAGCTCAAGACCCTGATTATTGTGGTGCTTGAGCATTTTGTGTAAGAAGCTGAATTCCTGATTCCCTGCTCTGGCATAAGACAGCGTAAGAGGAGAGCCCTGTTCATGCTTCTGTCGCAAGCAGGTGTAGCACATCTTCATCCTCATCAGAGGATGAAATGTAGAGTGTAATTCTGCCATGTGCTCTGTTACGCCTCTGTCACCACTCCCTTCATCAATCTATTTACAGCACGCAGGACCTACTGGTTTTATCTCTGCTGTCACCCACAAAGCAGTGGGCTTTTGTGGGTATGCTGGGTTTAATGGATCAGGTAATCTGGCCTTTTGTTGGGATGATCAGATATCATGTTTGTGTGCCTATCATGATTCAAACACCTGTGGATTTGTGTAAACTGCTGTGGGCAGCTTTGATATTTTGTAACTTCTGAATCTGGCCAAATCATAATAAAAGAAAAAGAGTAACTTAAGAAAAATGGTGTGCAGTTAAACTGAACACACTTTGTATGCTAATTCAAGTTAACAAAGTCAACATGTGTCAAGAGTCATGGTTTGATAAACTTCAGATTTGCAGGTGATAATTTAGAATGGCACTTTTCCTGAGTTGTATGTTTGTGGGGATAGCGTTAAAGTTGGGATTTGCAGAAACTACTGAATAATACGGTAGCAGTTTTGTTGATAGGAGAAGAACTGGTCATATTTTTTGTTTGTTTTGAGATAATTGCATATAAAATCTGGTTTCCTTTAGCTGCTATGAAAAAATTGTGATGTGCAAAATGAAGATTTTGGTTTTTGCTTTGTTTTGTCTTTAAATTGGGTGAATTTATGTACTAGAATTTGATGCAATAACTTTTTTGAGCAGTGAGGACCATGTATTAAAACTTTTAGATGTACAATGCTAGTGGTGTATTTCTGGTTTTATTACATCATCATCAGAGAGAGGGTGTTGGTTCAAAGTTAAAGTCTACTAACAAATTTTCAGTGGAGTTGAAGAGCTTCAGGTTAGTCATTTGTGAGGGAGATGTAAGAGGCAGCCAAGCGATATCACGTCACTTACAAAGTCTGTGTGTGCCTCGATAAGATGAAGTTGGAAGATGTTCCTCAGCATTGTATCTGACTCAAATCCAGGAGAGGCTGTCCTCTCCACGAGGCCTCATCAACACCAGGGCAGCGTAATGCTACAGGGTTTGTTACCTTCCAGAGATTATTCTGTTACCCGAGTCTATTCGTACTGAACTTGAGCGCTGGAGGTGCAGTACAGGCCATCTCCTCACTAGGTGGAGCTCTGTCTGTGGAAACTTCAGATCTCTGTGGAGCAGGCACGGACATTGAAGGTCTGCTGCCTCACAGCACGGCTTGGGGTGTTTTGGTAGCACGTTGGGAGGTGAAGATGCTGCACCAAACGGTTCAGGTGTTAGGGTCAACTCTCTTTCCTTGCTTGGTAGCACTTTTCTTCCGTATTTTCTAATTTTCCTACTGTTAATTTCTTAATGCTTCCTCTTTTGTTTTCCTGCCGTGTCTCTGTATCAGCAGCAGGCATCCTGCGGAGAATCTCAGCTTTCTGCTTTTTCTAGAGCTATGTGCCAACACATGACTTTTGTTCTGCCTGAGAGACACTCTGCTAGACTGCAAGCAGAGATGTAAAAAGTTGCTTGTCCCAGCTTCAGCTGTCTTGTAAGATGTCCAGCTTAATGACTTCTCAAAGTCAAGCTTGTGTGGCCTCTTGTCATTTTGCTTCAATATCAGACTGAAATCCCAATGAGAGCTCATTCTCGTAACGCAGCTTTGCACTCCAGCACAGTAATGCAGAAGGTGTGTGTCCCGCCCCGATCTTCATAATTTAAACACTAGTTACACTCCCTTTGCTGCACAAATCTTACATTTTAATTGTTACCTTTTACTTGAAAATATTAGTAGCTCTGCAAACTCCCGATGTGTTTTCTGTGAAGAAAATCAAATACAGAATGGAGCTTATCTGTCAAGAATCTTTGTCAGCATAGCCTGCAGACACATCAGATTCCTCAGAGGTTCAGCTGTTGTGATACACGTTCAGTCCCTATGAACTCTGAAAAGTAGCTGAAGCACCACAAACTGTAGCAAGAATGTTTCCTTATCTTATATTTTCACAAAAACAGATTACTACATATTTATACTCTTTCTGATTACAGGGGATGCTGGCTAGCGTAAAAGATCAGAATTTGATTGAGCCACCTCAGACACAGGGTAATTACCTCTGGAGTATTTGGGAAACTGCAAATAACAACTTCAATGGCCTCAACGTGTGCTGTAACCCAGTTTTGAACGTCAGGGTCACAGGCTGAACTAGATTCTCTGCTGTAGATGTGCTCTGTTTGACACAGCAAAGGGAAGGTACTGGCAAGATGCCTGCCCTGCACTGACAGCTGAGCAGTATCCCCCTTCCTGGGGGGTTACATGACAGCTTTAGGGTAATTCTATATCACGCTTCTGTGACTCTGTGGTATATATCCTCTCCTGCTCCCCACGCAGGAGCTGGATCACCACGACTACATTCCTTTCAATGGCCTGAGCACCACAGTTCACACCCAGGTAGATTATCTCGCAGGACGGAGAGAACCTGCTCCCCAAATTACTTGAAGGGAGCTGTGATGACACGTGGTTACCAGTGGGGGTCCCACAAGAGCTCTGCATCGGTGAGCATCGGGCATCTGCTGTGTACGCAAGTATGATTGCGTTCAATTTGTTCTCCTAGAGCAGTACAAGAGCTAAAAGCAGATATGAAAGCTGAGATATTAATCTCCTCGTGTCATGGCAGGAGCTAGACTCTGAGGCATCGTTTTAGATTACCCAAAAATATATTTTGGCCTTGCAGCTGTAGGGAATCTTGTTCAGATGTGTTAATGCATTAGGATGTGATTACTGAATGTATTGCACTAGGGAGGTGGACGGGGGAGAACAGCAGGCAGCGC